GGGGCTGGAGGAGGTTACAGAGATAGGGAGGGGTATAGTGGGGTGGAGTGGGTCTCGTGTCTCACTCTTTGTCTCCCTGATGTCTCCATCCATTGATCCATTGGGTTTCCCTGCAGAGTAAAGGTGGGATTCTGTCGAAGGCCTGTGACTATATTCAGGAGCTGCGACAGGGAAATGTCCGCCTGCTGGAGGAACTGAAGGAGTTGGAGCAACTGCAAGTGGACAACGAACTGCTGCGGCAACAGGTACAAGCCCATCGCTGGCCGTCCATCCAACCTGGTGCCTTTCTCCCTCCCTGTGTCTCTCTCTGTGTGTCTGTCTTGGGCTTAATGTCTCATATTCCCCCTCCCACCCCCTTCCCCCACCATTTGCACACAGCACCCTGCAGCGAGACGTGTGCTCTTGTGCAGAACCTGCTGATTGTAACGTTGCAGAGTGTGGTGGTGAGGAGACTGGGATGGGAGGCTGCATCATGAGACTCACCTTCCTGACTCTCGTTAGGAGGAGAGATGGTATTCTCCTGGAGAGCGACAGGGGAGTAGCTTTATCCCTTCCTCTGCTCCTGTCCTATCAGTTGCTCCTCTCCCCATCTCTCCTCCTCCTTTTGGCCCTTTTGGGACTGCACTCCAGCAGTAACACCTCGGTGGCAGGAAGTTGACATGAGAATTGTGTCTCCTCTCCAGTAATGTGTTTTCTCTCTCTCTCTCTACGCCCCCACCCACTCCCATACTCCCTAATTGCTCACTCTCCTTGTACCCCTCTTTCTCTCATTCTCTCTCATTCTGTCTCTGCCTCACTGATTCTCTCTCTCTCTCTCTATCTCGAACACTTGTTCCTTCTCTCTCATTCTCTCTCTCTTTCTGTGTCTGTTTGTCTGTGCCTCTCTCTCTGTCTCAATCTCTCTCTCTCGGTCTCTGTTTGCCTCTGTCCCTCTCTCTGTCTCAATCTCTCTTTCTCGGTCTCTGTTTGTCTCTGTCCCTCTCTCTGTCTCAATCTCTCTCTCTCGGTCTCTGTTTGTCTCTGTCCCTCTCTCTGTCTCAATCTCTCTCTCTCGGTCTCTGTTTGTCTGTGCCCCTCTCTCTGTCTCAATCTCTCTCTCTCGGTCTCTGTTTGTCTCTGCCCCTCTCTCTGTCTCAATCTCTCTCTCTCGGTCTGTTTTTCTTACCCTCACTATGTCTGCCTGTGTCCTCCTCACTTTGACTACCTGCAACTCTCCCTCTCTCTGTCACTCTCTGTCTTTCTTCCTGTTTCTTTGTTGCTCGCTCCCTCTCTCTGTCTCTCTCTGTCTCTCTTCCTGTTTCTTTGTTGCTCGCTCCCTCTCTCTGTCTCTCTCTCTGTCACTCTGTCTCTCTTCCTGTTTCTTTGTTGCTCGCTCCCTCTCTCTGTCTCTCTCTCT